ATTACAGGTAGAGAGTGTAACATTAAACCTAAGTGAAAACAGATAGAAACTCAATGACAGAGGGTCCTTGGAAGACAGTGAGGAAATGGGTTGAGAAATTGTAGGTGGTTTTGAATATTAGGCCATGGCATTTGATGTGGTAACAAACCTGATGAAAGTGACCTCAGAAAAGTAGGACAGTGTATAATGATGGGGAATCAGAGAAGAGGCTTTAAGAATAATACAGGCCCAAGACACGAGTGGCAGTGACTATGATAGTGACCATGCAGATGCAATGCAGTGGGTTTATTAAAAACTATTAGAAAGGAAGAACCAGCAAGGTTTGAATACTGGCCATGAGAAGCAAAGAAGAAGTCAAATTATTTAAATGTTGTCATCCCGTGGACCCAGGAATATGGTGGGTCTATTAATATTGTGAAAGAAAAATTTGTTATGGTGGAAAGAAAAGTTAATTTAGTGTTTGCATTTTACATTAAAAGTACTGTATTTCTGGATATCTAAATAAAGGTGACCTAGAAAGGACATAATAACATGTGCAGGGACCAAAGTTTGAGAGATCAGGCATTTCAGTCAGGTTTGCTCACAGAGCCTCACGCACAGACTGGTATTCACAGAGCTGAATTAAGGTCATGTACCTACTATACTCTCAGAAACCTCTGCCAGGGAAGTTGGAGAAAATAGTAATCAGAAGGATTTCTTCAAGAAATGAGATAGAAGAGTAGAAGAGATATCCTGGTAGTTTACTACTCGTTCTGGATAACTAATAGGCTAAATAACAAATAAAGAAGAAAACAGAATCAAAGGTTTATTAATCCCTCAGTAAGAGATCTTGATTTCAGGTTTATCTTAAAATCGGAGTAAATCAAACTGTGTCTACATGTCCATGACATTAAAATGCCTAAAACTACCGATCTCATTCTTGCTTTCATCCAGTCTTTTCTCTTGTGTTTGCAGGCTTATGTAACTTACAGAGCATGTTATGCAATAATTCCATCTGAAATACTCAGTTGGAAGAAGAGAGAATAATAAACCTTGATAACACCCCTTTATTCTTACTCCTTTTTCCGTCTTGCCTTTCTGTGAAACACACTCACATACACAGGACTCATTCTTTGATTGTTCACCACCGTCATTCCAACACTGATGATAATCTCATCACTGGTGAGAGACGGCTGATGCAGTGGTGAACAATGGGTCTCAGAGAGTAAGGAATTGTCTAAAGGATTTTGAGCTCTGTATGCCTTTGATATTTGCCTTCAGTTTCTGAAATTTGCCCAGAAGGGGGAAAGAGACATAGGGGGTGGTCTTACTGTTTCCTGAAGCTCAAATGCCACAGCAGAGTACTTTTCAAGACATCTTGATTCTATTAGAATTTGCAGGTCAAAGGGCAGGTTCAAATGGTCTAGTAGTTGAAAGCACCAGGGATAGAGTGAATAGAGCACTGTAATGACTGAAAGTTGGGTTTCTGCTGCTACCTATTCATTATGATAGTAACATGGCATGTTAGTCATGCAGGAGAGGGTTACTAATCACTTTGAAAGGTTTGGTGTCCACATTCCCCCCCCCCTTTTTTTTTTAAACTGGGGAAAAGTCAGGAATGGAACAAGGAGAGTGATCTGGCAGGAAGACCATTGCAGTTCTTATTTTGCTCTGGGCTTGTAGTGTGCATATATTACCTTTCCCATTTTACGTGCTTGTATTATTCTCTAGGGGCTCATGGGAACTGTAGTCAGAATGTGCTGCACTAAGAAGTCTCCCTTTTCTTTTGCTTTCTTTATTCTGGACCTTGGTGTTATCAGCGCCATGCTCTAACCAACTGAGCAACTGGACAGCCGAGTCTCCCTTTTCTATGGATAGTCTTTATTTAGTTAAGCCTTCAAAGTCAACGACTAATCCCCATTAAGGTTCAATTTCTTTAAAATATCCATATTAGTATTAGAATAGGTGACTTCTAGATCTGAAGCCATTGGTTTTGATTAAAAAGGAATTATGTCTGGTGATTATAACTTTCTTTTTTACAGTTTTCTGTATCTTTCTGTTTTTCTTCAATGAATGTGTTATTACTTATATTAAAAAATATCTTTTTTACAAAGAAGCAATTTTATTGAGTAGGCGCCTCCTGATATAAGATTCTTTTTGCAATTTCCTTTTTTTTCCACTGCTCTGAATTTCACTCCCTCGAAAAGCAGGATGTTCTTAACAAAATTTTTTAGACACTTTAGAGTGTACTGTGTAAAACTTAACCATGTAAGTTCAACTATACCACACGGTCTTTTCTATCACATATATTAGAGAAACAACAGTTTTTCTTATTCCCAAAATGTTATGGCTGTTATTATTAACTAGCTTCCACGTTCTTGTCTATCCTCCAAAATTTTTTCAAGAGGTTGTTCTCCCCCGTAGTATCAATTTCAAATTTACCAAAATTGTAACCAAGGGAACAATTCTATCACTGTCCCTCTCCAAAAATAAAGGACAAACCTAAGAGCTAATATACCCATAAAAGATATTGACATTACCCAGACTTTACATGTACGGTACATAATCAAAATATTTTATTCTCTTGACTACGAATTGCCCTTTTTAGTCACATACACATGTAGAAATTAATATCAAGAGTATACTTTTCAAATGGAAAGAACAAAGGAATGATAATCTGTTATGGAGTTTTTAGAGTATGAAAGCCGTGGGTGAGGGAGAGAAAGTTGGATTCTTTGTAGCTCACAGCACTCGGTATCAGTAAATAGCATCAGTGACATAATAAAATCTCTATCTGAATTGCATGTATAAAATTTTAAAGACTTCAAATTATATATCTCATTAAAAAGACATTATTCCGGTGGCTCAGACTTCATTGCCACATGCTTTAAATTTTTGAAATTTGAAATCTAAACTGTCACTTGTTATATTGCGATTTGGGCATTTGACATTTTACCCCAGAGATTAACTGTACCACACACCAACTGGCCAACCATACTGTTTATGAGAGAGTTTGGAATTCAGTCAAGATGCTTAGACAATGTAAAATAATTTTTACTATTTCATGTTATGATGCTTTCCGTAAGCAGAGAATAGAACTCTAATCCTATCACCTTGGTATTTTGCAGTCAGCAAAGTTGTTGATGACTCAGTCTATAGAGTAATTTATCTTCATTCACCTTCGGCTCTTTGGCTGCTATACGTGAGCGATTATGACTATTGGTGCACAGAAGTGCCGCCACCTTATTGAAAAAGCACACTTCTTGTTCTAGCTCTGTCAGTCTTTTTGAGCTTCCCAAAAAGGAACAGATGACAGCAATCAACAGGAAACTATGCATAGTTAGACCATCTTGAACTCCTTCACCTTAGGCTCATTTCACCACTTAACATATTTTTTTCAAGTGGTCAGCAGATATATTTAGACTGCCGTTATCCCTTTGGTGTTGACTGGAGCCTCACGGTGTAAGCCATATGCCATTTCTTAGAATTACATAGAGTGTGCGGACAGTAGAAAGTGATACTGGGGTCGATGAGAATCTCCTCTCCTTTTCCAGCAACGAAAACTAGTTAAACAAATCTTTTCAGTGATGTAAACTGATCTATATCTCCAATTGTGTTAGTATTGCTTGCTCAGAGTTCAGTATACCTACCCATTCAGAATAAGAATAACTGTTAGAATATTTAAGCAATAGTCTTCCAGTTTGTGGCTAAACTAAAACTCTTCCGTATGATTGCTGTTGAAGCTTAATCTTAACAGAAGACCGAAGCAAGGTTAAACTTGGGCAGTGCATTCTCAGATTCAGCATTTCCTCAGGTCAAAAGCTCAGGCCCTTCCATGTTTCCTGTAAATCAAATCTGTCTTCTTACATAAAAGATGAGCTACTGAGGAATGCATTTCAGACTATGAGACTAATTGTTGACCACTTCATTCTGATTCTTTTGTAAATATCTTATGTCACCCTCCCTACTAAATCCACCTTCTTTTGCTTTTGGACATGAACCATAAAGTAGTTAGCTAAACCTCAAGGAGTCTGTAAAGTATAAATTACTATTTCAAAGTTTGCAGATCATTGCCAGTAAAGCCACAACTACAAACTTATGTACACTGATGAGATAAAAAGAATTATCAATGTTCAGAATGCCCCAGGAACAAAGATGGCTGTGTTTCTAAATCCAACATACTAAAGTTTACAGTTTGTAATCCACTTTATACATGAAAATGTTTTCAGTGTCAGTAACACTTCAGTTTGCCTGGAAGCTACAAAATACACATTTACCAAAAGAATAAGTTAAATGGATGAAGTGTATGGGTGACAGGATTATTCCTACTTAAAAAAAAAAAAAAGTTACTTTGTTTACTTTTCGAGTTTAACTACAACTATATCTAGGAACTCTTTTTTTTTTTAAACTATAAAGTGAAACAATAAGTTGTTATATGGTTTTTTAAAAGGTTAAATATATTTTTTAATTTCATTTTATCGTGGCAAGCACTTAGCTTGAGATCTATCTTCCTAAACTTTCCTGCGTACAATACATACAGTCTCGTTAACTACAGGGACAGTGTTGTGCAGCATATCTCTAGAACTTACTCATCTCGCATAACTGATACTTTATGCCCGTTGGTTAGCAACTCCCCATTTCGCCAGCCCCCAGCCCCTTGGCAAAGAGGGGACAGCTCAAAAAGACTGACACTGTTCTGCTCTCTGATTCTGTGAATTTGATACACCTCATGTAAGTGGACTCATGTAGTATTTATCTTTCAGCGACTGGCTTATTTCACTTAGCATAATGTAGGAACTCTTTATTAAGATGGCAATATGACAACATGATGAAGACAGAAATCCCAGTCAGAAAAACCTGAATGGGCATGGTCCTGGCTGCACCACTTACTCCCAGTGTGAATTTGGGCAAGCTGTATGAACTCTCTAAGCTGAAGTTTCATCACCCATAAAATAGGGGTAATAATAATAATAACTTCAAAGAATTGTTATGAGAGTTTTGGTGTTTTCTTTCTTTTTCAGGCAAGAAGCCCTATTGGCTGCCATTAGTGAAAAAGATGCCAATATAGCTCTTTTGGAGCTTTCATCCTCTAAGAAAAAGACCCAAGAGGAAGTGGCTGCACTAAAGCGTGAGAAGGATCGTCTGGTGCAGCAGCTCAAACAGCAGGTATTACTAAGTGCCAGGGAGTATGCCATAGAGCAGTGCCGGTGCAACCAGCTATCACACTGTCCTCTACACGTCTTTGCCACCTTGTGTGTTAAGATATCATGTTTCATAGAAGATAGCTGATAATTTCATCTAGTTAATTTTCATAATTAGAGGATTTTATCTTTACAAATCTGCAGCTATGTCTAGGACATGCACAGTATTCTTGGTAAGAGGGCTGGTGTAGAAGATGCCACCCTGTCTTCTACAGGAATATTTTTTAACTGTGTACAATGGATGGCAGAAATTAGTGAAATTCTACCCATGTAAAATGAAAAAGACTTAATTTTTTTACATCCGCTCAGATTCCTATTACAGCAGGCACTAAAGATAATTTTATTAAGAGATTTCCAGTTATTCATGGTTGGGTAAGTTCTGAAGGTAAGAGCAAAGTTTTGCCCTTTTCTCTTCTAACCAAACCCCATACAAAATTTAATGCTTAGTGTTCAAGGTAAGGCCTTTCATCTGTGAAAATAAAAGCTAAAAATTTCCCCTTTGATGCTAATTGCAAAACAATGTGAATGTATTTAACAGACAGGACCAGACTCTTAAAAATGGTTAAAAAGGTAAATTTTTATGTATGTTTATTTTACCACAGTAGAAAAATGGAGGGAAATTTCCCTTTTGAAAATAAGGAGAAAGATGAATTTTAAAATCTAGGTGCCCTGCTTTAACTTGAATGCTCTTCACTGACCATTCCCGTACTGTCTGTATGCAGTGTCCACAATCCTGTCCCCAGTGTCATCTCCCATATTCTCAGTCACACTTTTTATACTTTTTCGCTGCCCACATTTGCTCTTCTGCTTCAAGTAATGAAACTGGGAAAGAGCTTTTCAAGTGAAGAAATTTCTTTTCCGTTTTGGGAGATCAATCATCAACTGATAATATTTTGGCATAATATTTATGTACACATTAACAATCAATATTTTCATAACAAAGGTATTTTCTCTGTAGATCAGTATTAAAACTGCTTAAAAATAGACTTTATATTTATTTATGTGGCAGAATTTGCTAAGAAAATACCTCAAGATGTCCCTTTTCTATAGTATAGATACTTGACTAGCAAAAAGTAACTCATTGCTCATTTTCAAGTGAAAGAAAGTTTTTACAGTGTCTGAAATAATTTTGAAAAAGAAGAGGATATCATCCAATGTCTGAATGCATATTAAGTAAAATAGGAAGAATGTGCTTATTAAAGACATCTGTCAAGTAGTTGAAACTGAAATTTGGCATACCAAAGCTGATAATATGAAATAGGAGGGTATTATTAAAGAAATAAGTTCACTGGTTTGTGAGTATATATTTAGCAATATCAGTTCTCTTAGGAAGATAGGCCTGAATATGTAGGCAGGTGATTTAAGTAGTTTATGGTCCTTCACACCATAACAGCAAATGGAATAGAATGTCTGGCAGACCAGAGTACTGTATCTCATTCACTGTGGCTTTTGATTACTTGACTGTCAAGATTACTCATATATTTTCATTAGGTGAAATTTAAGAAAATTAAGCTATGTGCTTATAACCTTAGAAATGAGTAGCTAAAAAATTCTCAGTGTCTCTGTATCTAACTAAATGCCCTGAATATTCTGTAGTGATGTGCCCAATGTAAAGAGAAAAATAATACAGTTCTCAACAGTCCTATCTACAGTCCCTTCCTGTGCCCCTTCCATGTAAAGTTTCACATTCCTGCCATCTCAAAATGTACCTGGGATGCTGTGAGCAAGAAGGAAGGAGTGCTGCCAAAGACATTTTGATTCTTTAATTCCTCCAAGTGTATGTACTAACTTTTGGACAAGAAAGAGGCCTTTTGGAAAGAAGGTATGGCATCAATATTGTTTTAATTTAAAGCTTCTAGTCTTTGAGTTGCTGGAATGTGCCTCAATGTAAAGGCCATTTCCTAACAGGTGAGCAGTCAGCATCAACCAGGCCTCTAGTACATGGAGCTTCCCCTGCTCGATAGTCTCTTGGCATTCACATGTGGTTCCTATCATCAGAAACATGAAGCAATGAGGGATATACAAATTTGGGGTCACCCTCTAATAATGGTCCCAATTGACGTACCTCTCCCTGCCAGGGTCATTTGTCACCTTGACTCATTCATAGCAAAGCAGTACTTGGAGAGTCTGCATCAGAGGAAGGGGCCAGGGCTGACAAAAAATAAAATAAAAACTAAAGATTGTCTAACAAACTCCAGATATGTTGTGGTGGGTACCAACCAGTGCGTTCAGAGTGTAAGTGATGAAGAAGCCACTGCTGTGATTGTCAGGCACCTGCGCACGATTTAATGTGAACTTAGAACCCTGGAAAGCATTAATACAATCTGTTTAGCCACCAGGGCTGTCACAAGATGGACTTTCTCTCAGCATTATTTTCTTCTTTTCACCTCCAAAATTTTACAACCTCCATATTATATTTGCTATTAGTGTACAGTCTGGCTTTGTCCCTGTGTGCACTGTATGGATGTGTCACCGACAGGTCAAACTTTTCAAGACAGGCTAGAATGTTTTTTCTGTTTTTATACGTCAAGAAGTTTTATATGTCACTTTATAAGAGTAAAGGCTTAAATTGATTTGGTTTGGATCTAGACAATCTCATTTATGACTACAGTTTTATAATCCTCTGCAGTAGGATTGTCAGCCAATGTATTCTTTTATTCCAGTATTTTCTAGGAATGAGGGATGAGAAGACACAGTAATTGTCTTAAAGAAGCTCACAGTCTCATGCTTAAAACACTAGTTGTTCTAAACATTTGGCAGAACCATGCAGAGGTCATCCAAACATTACATGATTTATTTGCCTGTTCATTTCAGATTCGTTGAGCATCTGCTATGCGCCAGATACAGTATTAATGGAAAACAAATGTCTTTCTTCCTAGAAATATCCTGACAGAGAGCTAATAAGACCAAAGTTGTATCTCTCTCTACCCCCATTACCAGTTAGACACACTACTCCTTTGCGATTCATGTTCCTCATTGATGAACTCAGGATAACATTACCTTCCTCACAGTGTTGGTGTGAAATTAAGTAGATGTATTAGTCAGTTTTCTCTTATAACAGAATACCTGAAACTAGTAATTTGTAAGAAACGAAATTTATTTCTCTTAGTTTTGGAGACTGGGAAGTCCAAGGTCCATGTGGCACCTGGGAGGCATCTGGGAGGGCCTTCTTCCTGGGGATGCTCTACAGAGTCCCATGGCGATGTAGGGTGTCACATGGCCAGAAAGGGGAGGAGCACATTTGCTCTCCTTTTATAAAGCCACCAGTCCACAACCACGACAGTCCATTAAGCCATTAACCCATTAATCCATGAATGGATTAATCCATTCACAATCCTGTCACTTCTTAAAGGCCCCACCTTTCGAATACCATATTGGGGCTTAAGTTCCAACATGAGCTATAGAGGGGACAAACATTCAGACCATAGCAATAAGATAGTAAACCTAAAGTGCTTAGAACCCTGCTTCTGTTTCCTTTCAGAGATCCCTGTTCTACAGTGAGAACTGTGCCACTGGTGACACATGTTACTTTGAGGGAGGGGGAATTTCAGTAACTGTGTCTCTCAGTCGTCTCAGGCAGCTTTGTTCAATGTTCATTGTGACCATAGTGTTCAGAATTAGATAACTAGCACATACTGTTCCACTCCTCTGAGGAAAAACATATTTCTCAGAGCAGTTAGGAAAAAGAGACAGTGGTACTTTTATCCTTTCTTTTTTCTACCTGTTCTTTTTAATGATAGGACGATAATATAGAATTTTTTTTAAAAAATTCTAAATTCAAATATGCCTCTCTTAAATCTTACATTTTCATCATTGAAGACCATCCTTTAAGTGCCCATCTGCCTGAAGTTCTCAACACAAGGAAAATGATAACTACCAAAAATACATCCCATCTTACTGTCTAGTTCTGTGATTTTCCACTATTACATGCCTGTTCCTTACATCCCCAACTAGTATAGCTTTTCAAAATATGTGAAAATAGAATAATGACGGAAATGGCAGCCACTTATCAATTGACTGTAATATGCTAGGCACAGGTGCTTTAAATGCATCGGATCTGATCTTCACCACAACTCTGGATATATTATCTTCATTATATAGATGAAGCACCTAAGACCCAAAAAGGTTGAATTTCTTGGCTAAACTTCCATGAGGACTAAGTGGTGAAGCTGGAATTAGAACTAATTCTTTTCGTACTCTTACCATCTTATGTGGAAATTCCAAATGGCAATTTAGAAAGATTGCACTGGAATTAGAATAATACAAACAATGCTTTTTCATGTTTTTATGATACTCATTTGTTTCCCTGAGAGATAAATTTTTTTATACTCCAACTCCTCCCCTCTTTGTCTGTGAAGAACCTGAAACAAAAAACAGTGGATTTTTTTCTGTCTTACAAATGCAATATGAACTACAAAACAACAGTGAAGTATGATATCCTTCTTTTGTGTCTTTAGAGAGGGCAGTATCCTATCAGAACTAAACCTGCTGGGGTTCTGGAGTAAGTGCCCAGCAATGCTTCACAATCTACCCACTTTGAGCTGTCTGCAAACCCCTCCTAAAAGCACCAACCAACCTCCTAGAAGCTTTCCTTTGATTTATTGACCACCTGAAGTGTATGGAGACTTTTCAGATTCAGAATGATCGTAGAGAAGAGTTTGATCTCCTGGATCCCTGACCTATGGGTGGTGAAGAGATGTCCTAACCTAGTAGCTAATCAGAAGGTAGCCTGTGTGGACAGTCTGTTTGGCCTTTGCATGGCATTAAAAGAAACATCCACTTAGGCTCTGATTCCCCTAAACCTTCATCACCTATGTATAGACATATGTGAAATGAGGGGTTATTGCAATCTCCTTCTGAGGGCAGCTAGTCAGAATAGTCATTTCAGGGTCCTATGGGTTCAAAACTGTTGTTCTTAAAGACTATTTAGCTGACCACCCACTTGAAATCCAGACCGTGTTAATTTAGTTGCCTTTCAGGATGAGTTGCTTTTTAGAGGAAACAAAAACTATAGCACTGTTATGCTTTTTCAAAACAATCTGAAATAACCGTCTCTAAAGTATTTTTCATAATTTTTCCATTTACTCTGGAAACTTAGCACTCAATGATGACATTAACTATGAACTTTTAAACTTTTAGTTCCATAGGTGAATGCTCTACTTCTGTAATGGGATAATGCTGAATTAGGGCCAAAAAAGATAACTAAATGAATCAATTCAGTCATAATGAGAAGCCAGAATTTTGACTGGTTAATTTTTTTTAATTAATAGCTTCTTCTGTATAATATCACCTAACATGTTTTAGGTTTTAACCCTGTCTTCTCAAATACAAATTTCTCAGATTCACAATTTATTATGAAAGTTATTGTCAAC